ATAAAAAATTTATTCTCGATCAATGAAACACCGCTAAAGACTAAAAATTTCAGAATATACTCAATTTTAGTAGGGCTACAAACTTGCGAAATCAGAATTAAATTTTAAAAAAGAAATTGAGCAAGCTCTACTGCGTTAGGTCGCCCAAGATCACAGGCGGCGGCACCATGAGGCTGTGGGTATTTTGGCACTCACAGATTTTGAAAATTTTCGCTTTTTTCCACCAGAAACTAATGTTTTTCTTGTCCTTGAGCAGCCATAGTTTCGAAATCATTCCGCCGCCTCTGACCAAGATCTTGATAGTTTTTTGAATTACTGTTTTGTTTTACATTTTTCCTTACATATCACTGTGAAATTTTCATAATTAGAATAGTTTCGAAATTTTCCCTTTCTTGAACATAGCTGCTCAAAGATGAACCTATGACCATAAATAATTGTATGTCTAATATAATGATGATGGCTGTCGTATAAGAAAGAAAATGTAAAGTTTCCATTATAATACTCGGAAACATTCTGACTCGATTCACTGAAGATTTTGCGTGTAAGATTCAAGAATCCAAGATCGTCTGACATTTGTTAAGATCTTAGGCATAACAAATACCACTATGGTAAAACTTAAGTGCTCACTTAATGTAAGAGCTACTTAAGGATATTGATGAAATGATCCTCAGCAGTCCTATAAAAGGAAACATTAAATGAAAAGAGAAGTATCACGGTAGAAGATAGTGAATAATCTTTTTACATCTTAGTAAATATTTGACGTGTTTGAGTTTATTCAGTTATAATCAATCGAGGTCTGTTTCCCTAAGAGCGCAAATAAATAAAGAAACAAATGTGAAATCATAACCAGTGTTTCTAATGAGAACTTGAGATAAAATGTATTTGTACACAAAATGCGCACGTACATAATTTGTAAAAAAAGTAACATTTTCCTATCCGATCATATCGACCAATTGGTTTTATTTATCTCAACGTCTTGGCCAGTTATGAAGGCGTTTTAAATTATAGTTGATCTAAGTCCGATTATTATCAGTGATTTCATTCAAACTAACTTTGATAAAACAAATATCCCTCTGAAAGAGTCAAATGAAAAAGCAAATGCTGGTTAATTAGATAAATGACTTAAATTTTTGATAAATTTGTCATTCATAATGTTAAAGTAATGGTTCATGAGGTCGAAAATGCTATGTTAAAGCTGTTATTCATTTATTAAATTAAAAATATCTTTATTTTATTTCTGTTTGAAAAAGAGTTTATTTCTAGATGAATTTGTCAGGAATTCAAGTATTACTAGAAGGAAACAATTTTTTAAGGGACTGAATAGAAGATATTGTATTTTAAACTTAAAAGAATTTGCATATTTTATCAATATTTCATATCAAAGAAACATAATACGATTGAAAAGCCCCAAGTTGGTCTCAAATGAATCAAATATTTAAAATGTGACCCGTAATGTTCAATTTTTTTGGCTCTTTATATTTAAATTAGTCAACATCAAGTTCGATATTTGAGAAAGCATAAAAGAGTCTTGTCTTAATAAAGTAAAATATTTTTATTCTTGTAACGCAAGATTATCATATATCTAACATATTTTTTATTTAATGAGATGATGATCTTGAAATTGTAGTTCGTGCGAAAGAAAATAAGTAGGAGAAAAATGCCAATGAAATAAGCGTCCTATGTGAATAATTTTTATTTATGTGCAAAGGTAAGAAAAATCTTTTTCTAAATTGTTAGTTGTATATTTTTATTTTGCCTTTCTGTGTTGACCTCAAGAAACATACGATTTATTTTTTTTACATAGAGATTTATATATATATATATATATAATATAGAAAGAGAAAGAGAGAATATTAAACAAAAAATGTTCAGAGACTATATGACAGAGAGAAGAGAAAAGAAAAAAAACTAATAGAACTTTCAACAATAACAGAGTACTAATAAGAGCAGTATACACCACTGTAAAAGGGAAAAAAAAGATAAAAGAACGTCTTGTATTATTATTGTGTTTATCGTACACAATGAACTAACTGTTGTAATGCTGAAAAGACAATGTCTACGAATTTGTTTATGGTCAAAAAATAAGTTTAATTGTATCATATGACGATAAAAATATGTCTGATGTCATTAATAGTCATTAATTAATTAATAGCTAAATGGAAAAGCAAACGCTGGCATATTACACCATTATTTTTTCAATTATTTATAGTAATTGTTTACATACAAGGACAAATGGAAACATTTTCGGAAATACTGGTAAGAAAGTATTTGTATGAAATTGATCTCGTTTGATAGAAGCATTCATCTGATTTTCATATTTTAATTGTGAATAGGACACAGTTGGTCTTAGGGGCGACATGAGTTGCATCATCATTTTATTGTTATGTACTATATCCCTTTATTTCTTCCAATATCTACAAATAATAAAAATAAAAAAGAACTTATATTTTAGTATTGGCAACGCGTCGGGTATATATCATTGTAAAATATCGAATAAGATATTCAGAAATTTATTTATATGGTATCGAAAACAAAAAAAATCGGCTGCTGTATAAATAAGTTTCTGATAGACTCAATATTTAGTAGTTTTCACTTCTTCAATGGAAAATTAAAATAAATATTTTGTATTTTTATCATGCTTTAAGTTGGAATATTTATTTTTCTTATACATGCATATACACACACACACACACACACACTTGTTGAGAGATGGTATCTTGCATGATACTTTAATGTATGCAACTGATTGTCGACAATAGACCATATGTTTTTCTATTTATAAGTGTTATTGTTTGTTTGTTCGTCTCTCTTGTCCTCTCGGGAATATGATTTGCACATAAATTGTTACATCTAAAATGTATGAATTCTTTTCTGCCATTAAAAACAAATAGTTGAACGTTGGCTCCATTATATTAAATTCAACTAATTGTATCTATATATGTGTGTGTGTGGGATGTATAATAGGCACGAGAATAAAATACTCTCAGCATTTTGTTATGTAACATTCTTTTTAACAGAATTATCATCTGACTAGATCAAATGTCTCACAGATGAAAGTCGATGATTAACCTCCATAATTGAGAGAATGGTTTTTCAATCATTTTTTTTCTATTAATATTTATGATTGAGCACTTGTATTACTCATTAACAAAAATAGAGACATAGACATATAGAGAAAAATATATTTTTCTCTTTATAGTTCTATTTTATTAGTAAAGAGAATAGAACGAAAAGTGAATGAAATATTGATTAATTAAACAAGAATATGCGGAAATAAATCAGTTGAACAGACGCAGATTGAATGAATAATGACATACATAAAAATTAGGCCCGTATTTAGAACAAAGTGGTATATAAAAATGATTACATTTTTCCCATTACTATGTTGAAATGTGTTCAAATTATTTACTTATTATATGTCTAAGTTATTAAATGTGACATGAGGACGAACAATTCATATGACAAAACATTAACTTTTATTTAAATAAAGACAGTCGACTGATATTAAGTGCAAATGTTGCTAAACAGAAAAAAAGAAATTGAATAAATATGATATTTTAAAAAAATCACTAATGGATTTTTATACTACAGATTATTTTGTAAGAACTTTTTCGTTTAAGTAATGATCTAGAATGACAAAAATCTCATAGATAAAACGCTAACAAGTCATAAGAAAATCTGTGATTTCCTTTATCTCTAGAATTTAAGTCTATGAATTTATTTTTACATTATAGAAATTAAATGTTTACAAGGTGAATTTCTATGTGATAGTATTTTATGTCTACCATTGGCATTTGTATGCAATGGTGAATATAATTGTCGGGATAGAACAGACGAATTGAATTGTACAACTGCTATTATCAATAATGGTCTGTGTAATTTGAATATATCGATTAATTGTGAACAAGAAATTTCACATAGTATAAGATTAATTGAACATGATTATGATCTAGAAAAATTTCTGATTGATAAACCGATACAAATATGTATTCAACGGTAATATTTATTAACTATAACATTATAAATAATAATTATCCATTAAAAATATGTTTATTTTATTTTTTAGTTCATCTGTTTGTGATGGTGTTGTTGATTGTAAAAATTCTATTGATGAACAATGTACAAATAGTATGTATTAATTACTTTTTGTATCACTTTCAGTTATAAGCTTTTGATTGATCTAATACTAGGAAATCCGATGATACAATGTTTGAAAGATGACGAATATCATTGTACAATAACAAATCGATGTATACCAAAAACATGGCTATGTAATGGAATCAACGATTGTAAAGATCAATATGCATCAGATGAATTAAGTAGGTTATATTTCTTTATTGTAAAATAAAATAATCTAGTGTTTATTTTCTTAGATTGTGAAATAAATGAGAAAACCAAATGTTTATCAAATGAAAATAAGTGTGCTGACAATTCTCAATGTGTTCAAGAAATATTTAGGTGTGATGGTTTAAAAGATTGTGCCGATGGAAGTGATGAAACACCATCATTATGCAGTATGCAGAAATCAGCGCTTATTACTCTCATAATATGGAGTATACTAACTCTTATTTTAGATCGACTACATTTTTGTACACCCGATCAATTTTTATGCAAAAGTTCACAGTTATGTATACCAAAATCATTGTTATGTGATACAGTGACACAATGTCATGATAATAGTGATGAATTGAGTTGTGTTTGTCCAATAGATGATTATATAACGACGAAATTATTTTATCGTTGTGGTGGAAATATATGTATAGAAAAAACATTAAAATGCGATGGAACAAATGAAGACTGCATATTGGGCAACGATGAAACAGATTGTAAGTAGATTATGAATTAAATAAATTGAGAGAGTATTCATATTATTAGAAAGTTAGAAATGTTATAATTCTTTAAGGGATAGTTTTTTGTGTTAATGAATGAGAAGATGTAAATGATACCAATTGACTCGTTTAGGTCCAATATACACCTCAAAAATGTGTGTAAATAACACATGCTCAGCTCCAAATCAATATTGTAAGGGTTATTTTAATCGTAAACGATGTGTATGTGAAGGTGGATATCGATTAAATTATACAACAGGATTGTGTGAAGATGTTAATGAATGTAGTGAGAAAGCAATATGTGATCATTATTGTATTAATCTTGAAGGATCATACAGATGCGGTTGTGCCGAAAACTATCAACTAAATATGGATAAACACACATGTTCGCTGAGAAAAACGTTCAACGCCATTGAACCGTATATTATTAGTCTCGGAGAAAATGGTTTATATCGCACAAAAATGAATGATACTGAACTTTATACAATTGATAATGAATCTGATAGACAACTTTTTACTAACAGTTCGCAAGCGTCAATTAAACTTGTCAGTGCATCTAATCCCTATTTAATTGATTACGATTGGTCTGAACAAACACTTTATTATGCTGAATGTACAACATCGATACGAGAAACAATAATGTCATGTGTAAAAACATCGAATATTTATTCTGTTAAATTGAATGAAACAATCCAAGAGAAAAGGTTAATTATAAATAGTCGAGATTATACATCCATTCAATCGATGGCCGTAGATTGGCTTGGTAAAAATTTATATTTTGTTAATACAAGACTACAAACAATTGATGTTTGTAAGTTAAATGGTAATTATTGTAGAATATTATTACATCAAATATACAGTGACTATATACCACAACGAATTTTATTATATCCAGAAAAAGGGTAAGATTAATTAAAATTAAAGATGTTAAGAAAGAGAGTGAAAAATTACTACTATCGATTGATTTTTATCGTGTTCATCGTTGCCTGTCTTATTTATTTCAGATTGCTGTTTTATACAGCTATTGTTAAAGGAAAATCTCAACATATTGTTCGTATGAGTATGGATGGCAAAAACTTAAAACTATTTTTTACAACAAAAACAATATCGGATAGAATGAATGTAGATTATTTACGTCCTTTATTAACAATTGATCGTAAATCAAGTTATCTATTTTATTATAATGGACACGATCAAATTTATATAATTAACATGAATGGACACATTTTATCACAACATTATACATTCCGTGAAATTACAACAATGAGATCGTTTCATGCTTTTCAAATATTTTCTGATAAAATGTATCAATCTTACTACGATGTCAAAACAAAACATCGCGAATTTTGTATTTTATTGAAATATGTATTAGCAACAACACTTTCAGGGAATAACAGTAAAATGTCTGAACGTTATCAATTTCGGACATCTTTGAGACCACGTTCATTTGTGTACCAATTATATGTCAAAAAGTACCCTTTGTATATGATCGATTTTGCTATTGTTCATCCATCTCAACAAGTACTAGTTCAAAATAATTCTTGCAGTAAAAATAATGGTAATTGTGAACAATTATGCTTATTGAATGCAATGGATCAGACAAAGGCCACATGTGCATGTACACAATACTATGATTTGGCACTAGATGGAAAATCGTGTATCTCCAATTGTCCTACCAACTTCTTTAACTGTTTATTATCAAAAAAATGCATACCATTTTATCAGCAATGTGATAATATTAAAGACTGTTTGTTCGGCGAAGATGAAGAAGAAAAAATTTGTCAGGAAAAACATTGCAGTAAGCAAAATACAACGACAATTAGTTGTTTGAATGATTCAAAATGTATATCATACACAGATTTATGTAATAATGTAACGTCATGTCCTAATGAAGAGGATGAAAATGAGTTGATATGTGGCCATTATTGTGAGTGGCCAAGTCTAGCAACATGTAACAAAAAATATGGAAGTGTTTGTTCAACGGATGAATTTCTATGTGATGGCAAATGTGTTGATATAAGTCATCGATGTGATGAAACACCTTATTGTTGTAAGTAAAACAAAATATCCGAATGAAATTATTCTAACAATAATTTATATTTAGACGATGGTTCCGACGAGCCATTTGACTGTAAACATGTAACATGTCCCAATAACTATTTTAAATGCCCATCTGGAAAATGTATATCATTAACAAGAGTTTGTGATAAATTTAATGATTGTGATAATTTAGCACGAGATGATGACATTAATAAAATAGGAGCCGATGAGACAAACGAAGCATGTAATTTATTGTTGAACACATCATTGAGTTTTGCGTGTTACGATAATCGAACGCGTATACCAATTAGCGAATATTGTAATGGTCATCCAGATTGTCTCGATTCATCGGATGAAGATCATTGTGCAATACAGACAGTATGTGCAGTAAAAGAATACAAATGTGATGATAGATGCTATCCAAGCACGATTAAATGTAACGGCTTTATCGATTGTTTTGATGGCAGTGATGAACAAAATTGTTCTCAGACAATAATCAATAGCAGTGCTGCAGGATGTAACAGACCAAATATGTTCAAATGTAAAACAAGCGCTTATTGTATTAATAATAGTTATGTATGCGATGGTGATTTGGACTGTAGCGGTTAGTCGTTAGTTTTTTAATCTATTAAAAAAGCTAAACAACTTTTTTTCTCTTTTTGAACAGATTCATCCGACGAAGAAAATTGTGTGAAAGAAAAGAGTGCATTGAAGGATGAAACCTGTAAATCTGGCTATCGATGTGTACAACAACAGAAACAACAACAAACTGGTGATGGTACAAAATGCATACTTCTAACTCAACTATGCGATGGACAAGTTCAGTGTCCGTTAGCTGATGATGAACATAAATCAAATTGCCGTGAGTATTATCGATTTTCACCTGAAAGTCTGCTCCTTACTATTATTATACTGAAATATTTTGTACCTTTTAGTGACTTGTCCTGAATGTGATGTAAATAGTTTTTGCATTATGATTAATCGTATACCAGAATGTCAATGTAAACCTGGCTTTGTTATGTTAACAACAAATAATACATGTGTTAAAGAAGAAAACTTTTGCAAATACGGCACTTGTTCATATGTGAACATCACCAATAATTTATGTTTTGAAAAAACAATAGATGATTGTACATGTGATAAGGGTTTCAGAAGAGTAGTATTAGATGCGACCGCTGTATCATGTGTTTTTAGCAAGAATTCATCTATTAAAGTGTTACTTTATCCAACTAGATCGTTTATAATACAACAACAGTCGTCTTTACTAAAGCCAGTCTCATCATCACATCGTGTTATATACGCCAAACTTGTACCGATCAATTCAGACTTATACTTGATTATTTCTGTAGAAGAACGCTACGGTCGAGGTTATATTTATCAACAAAAGTTTGAAACCAAATCAAAAGATCGTCGAAAACGCGATGTAACTCATCAGAAAATTATTCAGGTAAATCTGTTTTTTTTTCTTCTTTTACAATTGTTAATTATAGTTGTCATTTATTTTCAAGTTGTGGTCATCCCGAATTTATCAATTTGTTTCAATTGAAATTGACTGGATACATCGTATCATTTATGCTTATTATAACGATCTATTATCACTCGAAAATGGTATTGAAATATTATATGCTAACGAAAATTACACAAATTTAACCTTTATTCAACGTTTAACATTTTCTTATACAAAAACAATATCAGCTATGAAAGTAAATCCGTTGCAAGGGTACATAAACTATTAATCATTGTTGTTTATCGGACTAAATTACATTAGTTTTCTTTTAGATACTTGTACATTAGTGGTTATTTTGATTCACAACGTTCATCTATTTATCGTTCGTGGTTAGATGGTTCAAATTTGGAAGTATTTATTCCGCATGTATCTTCACCTATTTTGAGTATGGTAATCGATTATCGTCATCCACAACTTTATGCGCTTTTATCAAACGGATTAAATCATTCAGAAATTGTTTCTTATTCATTGAACGACAAACAGCCATGGAAAAGAACAATTTATGCATTTAAAGGTATTAATTTCTATCTCTTGTTTAGAGAAAAATGAAATAAACATTATTTTTAATTCAGATGTAGAATCCTATAGTCTTGATATGCACGATGATACACTCATAATTATGAAACAAGAATCACAAGATGATTATTATGAAGTGTGGTTAGATAAATTTAATCGATCAAATTTAGAAAAATATCATCGATATCAATTTCCATATAAAGTAGAATATATCCATGAATACAAATATCCAACAAATATCAATTCAAATAGTAAGTGATAATAATACATTTTTGTTATCAACGATTGTTTAATAAAAGAAAAATGACATATAAATCGTAATCTAACCTTTTTTCTCCACTTTTTTTTTATCAACAAGTAATATTTTTTAGTGGTGAAACAAGTGTGTAGTGTCGACATGTGTAAATCAAATGGAATGTTTTGTATTACATCACCGGAACAGCGACCAATTTGTATCACTCCTGGTGGTAATATCGAGAAAAAAAACTGACTCTTCCTTTTCATTCTCACAGTTCTATGTTTCTACAGAAATGCCGGTATGTGACTATCCATGTCATAGTCGCGGTATTTGTACACGAGATCAATGTATTTGTCCAAATCTTACGTATACTGGTGATGATTGTAAAATGTGCCGTATGAATAACGAAACAATTAGTTGTGCAAATGAATCATTATCATGTGTTTGTTACTTGACAAAATCTCTGAAATATCATACTCCATACTCGTGTACATCATTTAGTCACGGAGGAGAAATTGGTAAGTTCGTATATAAAATATTTCTATAAATAATATCAATTTATCTATATTCATTGTAGAAGTTCCATGTCATCGGATTATTCAAATTGTCGATCGAAAACAATGTACAAAAAATTTATTTAATCCACCATGTATTGAAGAAAATACAATTTCATATAAAACAAATGAAAGTCGTTGCATTTGTACTGAACAATTATTTAACACAAGTTATTGTAACAATAATGGAGTTTATCTACTTGAGAATGATAAACCAATTTGCACGTAAGCTAAATTTTTTGTTATTGTAAAATTTGTCCTAACCATCAACATTTCAATGTACTTATAATATTTATTTTACAGCACAAATTAGTTATTTATTTAAAAAAATTTAAAATCTATTCTAACGTTTCGAGTCACCGATTCATATCGAAACGTTAGAATAGATTTTAAATTTTTTTAAATAAATAACTAATTTGTGCTGTGAAATAAATATTAGGAGTTTACACAAAGTCCTACCATTACACTCTCTTAACCAATGTACTTATTTTTTTCTCTAGATGTGAATTACCGTTCACTGGTGAACGATGTCAATATGACAGTTGTAAAAACAAATGCATGCATAATGGCACATGTACAACGAACATGACTCACGTTATCTGCCTGTATGTAAAAGAGTATGAAAGAAGTTTATATTTGTTTTTATTTCATTTTGATTTTTTCATAGTTGTCCCGTTAATTACAGCGGTGAACGCTGTCAAACATGTGACTTGAATTGTAAAAATAATGGTAAATGTGTTCTGAATACAAATAATATTACAATATGTCGGTAAACAAATTAAATATTAATCTATTTCTTTTGTATAAATTATTCAAATGTAAACAATATATTTTTAGATGTTCAACTGAATTTACGGGGGATCAATGTGAACTACCAGTGTCATCTCGATGGCATTTATCATTTATTATATTATTTTCAATTAGTTTTATTTTGGTTATTATTTATTTACTTATACGTTTTGGTTTCAAATATTTTCAAAGAAAACTTTTATTTTCACATCGTCGTTTAAACGAACAATTAGGTTTAGAAGTAAACAATCCTACTTATACAACTGTTCCTACTACTGAAAATCTAAATCGAGATGAATTAAGTTTTGATGAACTACTCACTAATGACGATACTAGTTTTCCTAAAACTAATGTGACACCATCCACAAATGTTAAGCGCGATACGAGAAAAAATCACGATGATATTGATGATCCATTTTATGTCGATGAAAAACAACCGATATTCGGCGGACGGACGACGGTAAAAATGTCAAATAAATCACTAAATCGTAATGTTAACAATGATATGTTGTAATCATACGTTTTATTTCTGTGTCTAATAAGTGTAGAAACTAAACGTTCTGTCTATTTTGTTATATTTTTATTTGTATACCGGTGCCCTTTAGTTATTGTACAATTTGGTTATTGTAGACCAATATTCTAGTCACAAAAACTAATGTTTCGTTGTTTTTTTTCATCATCAATTATCATCTTGAATAGATTCATTTTTCATTCTGGTTCACTTCATTTTTTACTTTTCTTATTTGTCTAAAATACTATTTATATATTAAATAGTAGTAAAAAAATGTTATTTTAATCTTAATGTGAAACTCGACTTATTTCTTATGTGGTGTACATCAATTATGTTTAAATTTCTCATTTCGACAAAACTGTTATTCATTATTATATCAAAACTATGATAACTTATATAATCATTACCATTCCCACCTAATTGTTTGAAAACTAAATAAAGTCAATAGTCAGAAAGATTTGCTACTAAAATTCTATCGGAAGGTTTTCCGATAAATAAGAATTCAATAAAATATTCTACTTGTCTATCCGCAATCCTCCTAGACTTTCATGTACATAGATAAGAATATTTTTCGTTTTCGATGTACAGATGTAATTCGTTTATTAAAACTTTGTAAATAAGATATAGAATTGTCCGACGTTTAATCTAGGATATTTTTAGAGGCTATAAGTCAGTTGAGAAGATAAAGATTAAAGTCTTGAGTACCCATCTGGTCGATGTCCATAAAATTCGCATACCTGATTTATCTTCAAAACTATAAGCTCGTATTGAAGCCACTGTCATATTTTCTGCATCTAGACAACAGATATGAGTGATGGACAACAATGCTCGTGATTCATGCGAATAAGATTTTTTGGAAACTTGGCGCGGTACGAATGAATGAATGTTTTTCATAGGATATTCTATTGCTATTGGGATTTGCTGTTTCAAAAATAAGTGCTCAACTCATCTGTTAAATTTTTCCCCACAGTAATTGAACAAATTGGAGAAAGCAACCATTGATCTTAATATTTAGATAATGCATCATCAAATAAGTTTATTGTAGTTTGCTCAAAAGAGGAATGGATCGAGACTAAATTCATCAACACATGCTTTTTAAAACTTAACACAATAAATGAGTATGAAGAACAAGAATAATGAAAAAGTAAATAATTGACTTGTCATTTGTTGTATTAACCCTAGTATGTTATCCTAGAATCATCCTTTGTACCTTAGAAAAAAAAATGCCATATCAAACTAATTCCCTGGGTAGTTTTTTAAAATATGCGTCCATTTAGTTAATTTTCCGCCAATTCGTTTCAACAATCAGCTAGACTGTGCAGAAAATATGCTATGGTTGATACACCTTAGCAACGCATTTAGATACCTGGAAAGCTAATATCATGGACAATATCACTGATCACAGTTATGGACATCACCATGACATGCTGCCTATACAAAATTTTTATACAGTAAATTTCCTTGTCTATCTTTTAACGTTCACGAGTTTATTTCAGATAACTGGTGTATGCTTCCAGTCGAAAATGCCACTAATATTACTGCTAAAAATGTAAATAGATGTGAAATGACCATAAGAAAATAAGAATAACCAAATTGTCGTTGAATATTTGAATATGATACATAAGTGATATCAAGTATAATTGAGCCGATGAATAAAACAATAATTGCAGTATAGGATATATTTCGTTTTTGTTTCACCTGTTCTAAATTATATAGACTCGACACAATTGTTAGAATTAAGCCGATGAATATTAATATTAATCCTGATAGTGCCAATACAGTTGGTGTATGAGTCGAACTATTATAACACAATGTCGGTACTCCTACACCAGCACGACAAATTTTCCATAAACCAGCTTGAATTGTGGATGTGTCATACCATCGATTTGTACTTATACTCAAAACACAAAATAATGTGGCCAACGCAATTAAGCTAACAGCAATGTAAGGAATGGTGCGAATCATTTTCTTTTTCACACGAAAGTTATGTTATGAAAAAACTAAGATTAAAACTGCCTTATTGTTCAACAAAAAAAAAAGAACAAAGAAACAAGTTTCATTTAGAGAAAAGAAAAAGATAAGGTGTAACTTGTCGATACTGTTGAAACAGAAAAGAATAAACAAACATCAAAAATAATATCACAGTTAAATCAATCATCTCATTATTTATATGCGAGACAAAGAAGAAAATATGAGTGAATAGTTATTGAAAACATACGATTACAAGTCGAAGTATCTGATGACAGACTTCCTATAAGAAAGTGGTAGGTGTTCGCTCCATAGAAGAATTTCTGTCACTTTCTGTAACTACAAAAAGCTTCTTCTTCTCATGCCCTTCGTAAGACGAGCTATCTTATACCTTGTTATATATTTTTCTGATTTTTGATTTTATTACTAGTCCCACCGGTGAGAAGCCTCTGAATTAAAAAGTCTTTATAATCGCAAGCGGTTGGAACAGAGCTTTTTTTATCGGTTTTATTAAAAATCATTGTTTTCCAACTGCAGTTTTCTATATTTTTTTATTTCTACAGTATATAGAAAAAATGTTCGGTATGTTTTTTTGTCGAGAATGAAATAGCAAATCAAACAAGCTTAACTCTACACGGTCAAAAATGAAAAAGTTATTTGAAAAATACGAAGAGGACAACTAGTTCAGCGCCCCATTAGTCCAAAGAAGATAGACACGAAAAGAATTCTAAGTTTTCGTATCGAAATTGATTTTTGTTATATAAACTAGGATAACTGAAGCAAAACGATGAACGATTTTAGTGATGACATTTATTTATAAAATCCTGATCATGTTACAAGCAATTCATTAGAATACGATATTTGCCTTTGACGTAGATCACTTGCGCACACATCAATGTGTTTGGTTTTGCATTTTCTTCGAACGCTAATTGATACAGCCGAAAATTGCTTTGTTTTGCATGCATATTTCAAGATGTATTTTTAAACTATTATTAATACTACCTTTATCATTATCGCTATTTACAGCTTTTGCGCTTGACATCACTTTTAAACCTTTAGCCTTACCTCGATTCATTACTAGATTGAATGGTTCCCCGTTATCGTCATCGTCATGGTTATTGCGTTCATGTTCTTTTTCTTGGACGATTGGTATTGAAATTTTAATTAATTCTGCATATTCTCTCATCCCTGTGTGACGATTCTTTGTCACAACCTCTTCTTCCAGTACGTACTTCTGTCGCTAGGACTACTCTCTTTTGTTTCGTTCTCTCCCTTGTCTGTTTTCGCTCTTTCTTGGCTTTCTTCTTTCGCTGTTCTTATCTTTTGTACATGCAGTAGCAAATATATATTGAATGTTTTTCTTCGGTTAGAGTTAGTTTTTTGTAGTTTGTGATAAAGAGTAGTCGAATAAAAGAGTAATACTACAGATCTTAACGCACGCATACAATCAACTCAAGGACTTATAATTAGAGGAAATATAGGTTCCTCACACTTGGCGATCTCGTCTTGTCGAACCTTCCGTTCTCCTGTGAAATTTGTCTTTTACTTTTTTTTTTCTTTCTAACATTCTGCCTTGCTGATATTGCCTGGTAAGTCACACTGATTTTTATGATTAGGACCTCTCGGCATACAACTCTGAGGATGCAGTCACTACAAGATTCGCTACAAATCCTGTATAAACAAAGTCGGGCTCAGATTTACTTTTTTCACTCCCGCATTAACGAAATCCGCGACACAATTAAAGCTCTTGCGCCCAGCGAAGATAACACGATCGACTTTCTTCGGCTAGAACTATGCGATTTACAGTTGAAACTTCAGCAGGTTCCACTCGATATTCAAAATCAGTTGGCAAGTTTAATTCGGACATTCGAGGATAATCTTCCTGTACTGCCCCGGACCATGGATGATTATCCCTCCGTACCTTTGACTCCTCCTCCACTTGCTAGTTCATCGGTTTCCGACTCACTTATTGCTTACCCCTTCCTTCTTCACCCTTCTTCCGATACTTCCTCTTTCTATTTCCCCAGTGTGGACTTTTGGGATATGTCAATCGAACATGGACAAGAAGCCGCTCCTTCTGATCCTTCATTCGCACTCGGTGATTTTGTCCTTATCGGTCCTGAACATCGCAAGCTGCCAGCGCGAATTACCCAAATTCGTCCTTGGCAGAACAAATATGAAGTTGAATTCTATG